AAATCCAAACTATTCAACCTATACTCTAAAATAACTTGAACATTCATGCATACTATGATATGTTTAAAAATCCAATAGCTAGTAGGTCAAAAGTGATTTTTTCGTTTATTTAATAAATTATCATTAATTTAGATGTAATATTAGGAAATAATAGTAATTATTATTTAGAAATGTGGGAAGGGTGTGGCCATGTGGGTGATGAGCAATTAATTTTATTTTAGCCCATGGATTGATCACAAAGAAGGAGATTTCATTCATCATAATATGTGTGAGTAATTTCAACTGCATATATCACATGCTACCTAACATTATACTTGCAGACCAAACTAAAATGTTCTGCTTTTATTATAAATTCAAGATTAAAATATGGCCTTATAGAGAAAGAGAGAAAGTTCACATGTAGATATTATATTTATGGATAATAATCTATCCTAAAATTAAAGAAGCCAAAATCATCAAACACAATAAGGAGAGGTCTCTCCACAATGTTAGGCTGGCTTGTATATGCTTTTCGACAAATGAACAAATATGAATTCCAAAAAGGATTCCAAAACCTTATTAATATAACTAGCAATTTGAAGAGGAAATCAAAAGATGCATGGTAATTAAATGCTAATGCATCTTTTTTGTTTTTTAAACAAGAGCAACACAGATCTCTAACACTTTTCATCGCCTAGAGATTCTATCCCCTCCTCTCCTTTTCCCTCATGCCTCCTAAGATACTCTACCACTCTACCTTTCCATCCACTTCCTCTATTGGGCTGTCTCCCAAAAATTCCCTATTCTCAACGTATCCCACAGTCACGTGTTTTCTCAATTTTGTTATTTGAACCCTTTATATGGTTGTTACACATTACACACACACACACACACTTTGTAGCAATGACCAGCCTTCGACTTCTATGGCTAGCTCCAGCTTGGTGGTCCTGAATTGCCCTTTTTTTTACCTTTTGCTTTCTCTTTTATTTTGATCCATTCCCTCCAAAGTTCTTCCTTGAGTTCCCCACAAAAACATTCAAATTAAATGAAAGGAAAGGAGACCATAGGCTAAGCTAAGCTAGGCCACGGCTTCTCTGAAACTGACTCCATTACCACTGATATAAACCAGAATCTCATCACTGTGACTTCTTTGCGTCTTGGTACGGTGGTGCAACGTGTCAAATATGAAGTTAAACTTTCTAATCTTTAGTTTGCAGTACAAGAACCAAAAGTGGTTATAAAAGACATATCATTAGTGCTTTTTATATATAAAAGTTGAAGAGAACCACGATTAGACTGACCGTGACAATTATAAATATAACCAAAGAAGTTTACCGTTGTAATTTGTTGTTACTACATCATCGGATAACATATTCTTCCACACTTGAGTTGTCTGTCTTTCACGACATTGGTTTCTTTTATGCAGATTATTCCCCCTTCTATGTCGCTCCAGAATGACTCTGAACTCCATGGTCAAAGCTCCACAGCTTTGAATAAGGGAAAGGAATGATGAAAAAGAAAAGAGAAAAGCCCTTTTCTTATTCATAGTATCAGTGATGGGTTTGCAGAGAGAGAATCACATACGCGTCCTTTGACGGATCAAGAGAAGCCTTACTTTTGCCCAACATATATTGCATAAATGGTCAATTTGGAGAATATTTAGTACTCTTCTTGATGTTTGCGTTGCTTGGATTTGTTAGTGACGAAAATGAAAATGATGACGAGACTTGTTCTGCTTTGGTGTTAGCAATATTTGACAATGTCCCACAGACAGGAACACCACGTTCTTTAAGAATTCATGATTATTGTATGGAGGAGGGGCACGCCAGAATTCCATCGATAATCAATTTTGTCCGAGAGTGACTGGGTTGTTTGTCCTCATGACTCCAATATGTGGTCCTCTTCAGGATAGTCTTAATGTTAATCGTCATGATAATTATGAGCATTGCGTCCACGTGTCATTGCGTGAGTGAGTACTTATAAGATAATGTGGAAGGAAGGATTAGAAAACTAGCGTTGAGAAGTGAACTTGAGAGTGTAAACACACACACACACACATACTCACACACTTTATTGATGTTAAATTGAGTTGGATGATCATGAACAAGAAGCCCTGAAGGAAGTTCAAGGGATGATCTCACAAAAATGAAATGAGACCTGAGATGTGCTTGCTGCTTCATTTTTTTTTGGGGGGGGGGGTACAAGAGAGTTCTAGCCTGAAAAATAGAAACTAAAACATTGGGGAGTCAGATCCCAAAGATTCTTTTGACACTAAGGTCTGTAAGTGTAACGGATATGAATCCTGAATGAAAGATCTTGAAAGCTCTTTTTTCGTAAAAGGATCAGCTATATGGTTTTGTTCTTTTGAGATAGCTTGAATCTTCAGCTCTCATGAATGTCTCATCAATTTCTGAATCTGAAAAAATCAAACTTACTCCTTTGTTACTAAATTTCTTTCCCAGCATGTCCACAAGATTTTTTGCATCAGATTTAACTTTATTTAATCCCAAGTCTCAAGAAAGGTTAAGTAGTTTGAAAATTGAGATGAGATCGATAAAGCACAAAGCATTGTATCGTTGGATAGGCCCTTCATTTGAGTCAATAAGTTTGAGGTAGGCCTTTTTGATTGTATGTTTTATTATTTACAAGAAAGCCCTCTTATTGTCAACTTAAAAAAATAAAAAAGCCCTCATTTAATCGCAGGTTTACGGTTTTGGGTTGTGCAAGGGGATGCTAGAGTTGAAGATATTGGATAGGCCCAAACCTGAAGGGAGTTTAAAATTTATAGCCATCCAATAGGTTAACTTTAACAACAATAAGCAGTATGGCCCATTTTTAATCTGGATTTAATGGGCTCTTTTGAAACAACTTGCAATTAGCTTTTTAACAATGATTTACAGAATACGATCTAAGTATATAAAAGAAATTTTGTTTCGGCTTATGTAAAAAGTGTTTATGGGAGATTTCCACTGCTATCCCGAAGAGGCACAATATGCAGAAAAATGAGCGCTACACTTAACATAATGCCAATGGTAAATGGTAATGGCAATCAGGTTTAGAACTTATTGCCTCAAATCTGCAATGAAATGAGGGAAAAATTATTTAACAACTAAGTTACGTAGTTTGTCTTAAGTCCCTAGTTCCTACACTATTTTATTTAAGGGTGAGTAAGACTGAACTGAAATCAAAAACCGAACTCAATTCTTTTTTTTGTTTGTTTTAAGTTATTTTAGTTTTTGGTATTTGATTTAGTGTCTTTGAAAAACAAATTGGGTTATAACTTAGTATCCGAATTATGTCCAACTGATATTGGAAAGCGGATGGAGATTGATATTCCTTTTATCTTCCCAGCCTCATGCCCCTGCCAGCTGCCCTCCTCTGCTTCTCATGTTGCATCAGTAATCATAGTTTCCTACTTCACCATTCAACATAGCAGTTCTGTGTTTAAAATATATATATTTTAGTTATTCAGTTATTTTGGTTAATAAAGCTAATCAAATCGAAAAACCAATTGCTTGGTCCTAGTTTTATCATTCTTTCAATTGTTCTCAGCATAACTCATTAATATAATTATATTGGTTAACTTTTTCGAAGCATCACTGCTATGGCTCTGTTTGGGTGCTCCAAAACCATAGTTTCAGAAGCACTTTTCCGCAAAACGAGGTAACCTCCTCCACATATTTACTTCGTAATCTGTAAAAGCACTTCTGAAACCATGGTTTGGTTTTTATCCAAACACTCCCTATGTCCTAAATATCTATTTGTGGTTTCAGAATGATCATTATATTATAAGTTTATGATAATTTTGGAGTAAGTTGTTGGACGAAAATATGTTTCTATTCGTACTGCATAAAAATATTTTTAAAAAAAATTTGGGAGTGTTTGGATAGAAATCAAACTATAGTTTCAAAAGTAATTTTACAATATACGAAATAAATATATAGAGGAGTTTGTCTCGATTTATGAAAAAATGTTTTTGAAAACCACTTTTAAAGCAAATCCCAACACCCCCTTAATGACAATGACAGTGTAGCCAACTCATACGGATATGTTTAACTTCTAAAAATCTAAAATATATTTTTCATAATTTATTAGAAGTATGTTAAATATTTTAAATCAAATTAACTTAGGAAAAATTTAATCAAATTAGCATAAGTGTATTTTAAATTTCAAAAATAAATTAAAACACTCATAACAACAACAGTAATATAGTATGTGCTATGTTGAAAAATATACCGACTTAATTTGATTAGAAAATATTATTTCGATTAAAGTGATTGATATGATAGTGATAAACTCTTCATATTCCTGTGTGTGTATTCGTAAAAGAGAATTTTGGACAAAAAAAATGTATTCGTAAAAGAAAACTGACACGTACCTGCTCAGAAAAAAAAATAATTTTACAATATACAAAATAAATATATAAAAGAATTTGTTTCGATTTACGAAAAAATATTTTTGAAAATATTTTTAATGCAAATCCCAACACCCCTTAATGACAGTGTAGCCAACTCATACGGATGTGTTTAACTTCTAAAAATCTAAAATATATTTTTCATAATTTATTAAAAGTATGTTAAATATTTTAAATCAAATTAACTCAGGAAAAATTTAATCAAATTAGCATAAGTGTATTTTAAATTTCAAAAATAAATTAAAACACTCATAACAACAACAGTAATATAGTATGTGCTATGTTGAAAAATATACCGACTCTAATTTGATTAGAAAATATTATTTCGATTAAATTGATTGATATGATAGTGATAAACTCTTCGTATTCTTGTGTGTATTCGTAAAAGAAAATTTTGGACAAAAAAAAAAAGTATTCGTAAAAGAAAACTGACACGTACCTGCTCGGGGAAAAAAAGAGAGAAAACTTTGTTGTTGTTGTTGTTTTTTTTTTTTGGGGTTTCCACCGTTGCATCAAAATACAAAAAAATGTAAACTCCAGAAAGAGAAAAAATCTGGAAACCCTAGAGGCCACGTGTATATAAGAGGTGAGAAACCTCATTTTCTTTCGCGTCTTCGGTTCTTCCCCATTTCTCCTCGCTCAGTGACAGCCACTGCAAGCTTCTGGAAATGGAGCTTTGTACAGTTCAGGCCTCCTTCAAACTTCCCAATAATAATGCCTTCTGCGTCGGGATTCCTCCTGATTCCCCTTCCCTCGCTAAACCCTTCCTTTTTCTCAGAAAAACCCCAGTGATTAGCACCTCTGGCAACATGCTATCTCGTACGTTCTCCATCCCTTACATTCGGTCTCAATCGAAATCATAAAGTAGGTTGCTTGTACTTTTTTCTGTAATTTTCCCTCTTTTATTTGGGCTTGAGCTGATTGGGTTTGCCGGTTATGTTAGGAACTTCTGTTTATTTATTCTGATACGCCACTCTTGGTTTTCAAAAATTCTTGCATGGTAGTTCGTTCATAAAAGGATATGGTTTCGCCCTTTTATTTCCCGCCGGGTTCTCTTTATGTTCTTACAAAGTTGATCCCAACACTCTTCCTATTGCTTAACTCATCAGTCTCCATCTCAACTTATTAGTGGGGTCGTAGTTTTTTCAAATTCTGTTCTGAGAAGACTCATCTATGGTGTGGTCTGCTGTCTTAAATTACTTGAATACCTGCGACATCCCCTCCCCGGGGGGAGGGAGTTCCATGGAATATAAGAAAGATCAGTAATCCTCAAAATGTTTGTCTTGCTAAAATGAACGTCACCTTAGAAAAATCTTAGCATTTCCTACTTCTAGAGTAGTCGAACTCTGTCTTATGACACTGACGGTTGCAAACATAAGGTTGCCGCTATTTTTCTGTACCGTCATTTACTAAGTGCAGAGCAATTATGAACATTACTATAAAGTACATGACTTGCACTTTTTCCTATCGTTCAGGTTCAACTTCCTTGATTTATGTGTCACCAAGGGCAAAAGTATCCGATGAAACATCTGGTGGGCCAAGTCAATTTGTTGATGAGAAACCAGACCGTGCAATAATTGTGGAGGATGTTAAAACAACCGAAAATAATGCATTCAGTGGAAACGTGGCATCCGAAGAAACAAAAGAAGAATCACCCGTGGATGAGCTAGTGCAGCCGTTTGATTTTGCTGAAAAACTTGAAAATATAAAGGTTGCTGGAGCTACATTTTCTGTACTCTTATTTGATTTTAGTAGTCCGTGTCATGTCTATGCCCACTAGGGACTACAATTCTGGTTTCCTATCTGCATTAAGTGATTTATTACGTAACTATTCAGTTGAAGATATTTTTACTAGATGCTTGGCTGTTTCTCTCTATACTCACTAGTGACTACAATTTTGGTGCTTTTCTATTGAATTTGACTTTCCTGTTGTGTAATCCCCGATGAAAGTTGTATGAATCTGTGTTTCATAGAAACCATTTAATTCCATATGAGACAATCCCGCTGGTGTTTATATTTTGGTATTGTATTATTGGACTTACTTTATTTTATCTTGCAAATTTCTTCCCATCCCTTAGAACCCAGGTGGGACAAGATACTTTGAATTGGTTTTTGGTTTTTACGCCTTGGTGTCTTGAAGGGAGTGTTCCTAATTTCAAGGGTTAAGTGCAGCTTTTCTATATTTGGTATTTGCACCTCTTGTGTAATCTTTCCTCTCTGACAATAATTCTTGTTTTATTTTAAAAAATATTTGTTCTGTAGGTTTTTGTCTATTTAATTTCAAAATAGCCCTTTTGTTTGTTGTTGAAAATATGAATTATACCCTGAGCATTAAATTGTTGATCCTAAATATGCATTTCTTGACTTAATGGACCCATGTTCAAATTGAGCTGCTGTGAGGACTCTACAGATTGTTGATGACATTCGCAGAATGTTCGATGATACGAACCTGAGTTGTTATCCAAGCAACCTCACATGGCTTCATCCTTCCCCGTTTTATCTGATACCAGTGTTTAATGTTTTCAAACTTGTAACTAAAGTCTGACTGCATCCTCAATTTTTAAATCTTCTTTTTCCTAATAATATTTCATCCTTTACCCAGAAAACAATTTCACATTGCTCTGTACATTTTCCCCTATAATCCTATTATTTTTTTGTTTCAATTTGTGCCTCTTGTATTGGGCATTGAGTGTTTGGTCCAATGGTTGTATTTATTTACTCATTTTGAACTGCGGTCAAAACACCAAATTGAGTTGCTGTGATGACCCTATTCAAGATTGATGGCATTCATAGTATGTCTTATGAGACTTCGGCAGAAATGTCGAACCTGAGCGGTTACCTGAGCAACTTCATGTGGATCAGCCTAACTCCCCCAACCCCCAAATTTTTTTTTTTTGAATGGCTTACAGTTGTGACTAATTAAAACCTGTAATTGTAAGCAGGAATTTTGAAATCTCATCTCTTTTATAACCATTCTTCCAGCATCAGTGCTTCTACTGTTGAAAAAGAATTCAACTTTGTTTAGTAAAATTTTTTAAATGTCTGTTTTTCTTCTGATATGTTCCTTTGCATTGAACAGTAAATTGCCTGTCCTGCAGGTGAATCTATTTATGTAGTTATATAGACCTATTTCCAAATTTAGTTGCTGTGATGATCGTAAGGGTTATTGATGATATTCATGGAATGTCTCATGAGATTTTGACAATTATGTCAAACCTGAGCGGTTACCTGAGCAACTCTACGTGTGTTCACTTCTTTTGTCCTGTCTATTATCATTTACAATTATATGCTTTATTATTCGTAGTGGCTGTGTTGTTAAAATATGCTTTATTATTGGCACCGGCTGCATCGTTAAAATATTACAGTGATTCTCTAGTGTTTATCTGCGCTTTACATTTAATGGTATTCCTGCTGATTAATGAGATATTAACCTTGATTTTAAAATTCAAACTGTGTGTTTCTGAACTGGTTGCATTCTTTGCTGATCTACATTTTTCTCATGTAACTTCTTGCCCTCCTCTTTAATTTCTTATCGATCCTTTTATGCCTTTATCCTTTTTGTGTAACCTATCCTGGCGTCCTGTTTCTTCTATCTAATTAGCTATAGCTATGAGGAAGTGAGCATGCAATGTGACTAGGTTTTACAAAATCATATATGGGTTTGAAGTTACTTCTTTGAAGGCACTGATCAGTTAGATTAAATGCAGTTTGGACCTTTGTTTGTGAATTCTTTTTATTGCCTTATATTCATGCCCTTGCCATGAAACCAGCTGTTTTTCTGTTATTATGAATCTGAATACAGACTATGCTACTCGCCCAAGCTTGATTCCTTCCTTTCATTTCAGTTTGACATAGATGACACGGGTTCTATTCTCTTGTATGGAGGAGGTGCTGTAATTGCGTTGTGGCTAACATCAGCTGTTGTTGGTGCTATTGATTCTATCCCACTGGTTTGTATTGGTTTAGTATCATGTTATGCTTTCAAGCAATAAACATTTTTTTATATGTAACTCTTGTTTTTGGTTTTCATCATTGGGACATCAGATTCCCAAATTGCTGGAAGTAGTGGGCCTTGCATATACTCTATGGTTCACTTACCGCTATCTTCTCTTCAAGGTACATATTTTGGTTTTTCTGCTGATATTTTTTAGGCGATTTAGATAAATAGGATTAATTATATGTATTAACTCGCAGAAAAATAGGGATGAACTGGCCATGAAAATAGAAGAGCTCAAGGCACAAGTACTGGGTTCAGAAGATGGCTAGTCCTTCTGGTAGGATGAGCTATGCTACTGTAGTTGCATTACCATATATCTGTATAGGGATAATTGCTCTAAATTGTGGAAGCTAATATGTTGATGGTTCTTCCCTGAAAAGAATTTTTTCTTCCCCGTAGCACACAAGTTTGTATGTGGTATGCTAGATTGGGAAATATAATCTGAATTGGCCGTTAATCTTCCTCTTCCCGGTGGGGTGTTCCCGGCACATTGTGGTCAAGATCATTTCGTCGTTCCTCAGTGTAATCTATGGCACCTTGCTTTTGTTCCTTTTGCCGTACAAGCAAAACGGCCCAATGTTGCATTGCCAATCAGTTAATAGCTTTGACTGGGAAAATGAAAGAATTATAGCTGAGTTGGATGTTTTTGGACTTTGGGTTGGACTAGAATGGGTCTTTTAGATTTTTCTTGTGCTAGTGCGTGGAGACTGAATTCATTCCACGTGGTCTACTTGATTTTATTAGCCTTTTGATTCCACCAATTTAATTAAGTTGATCCAATCGAATTCAAAAGTAATCGCTTGGTGTCTTGATTAGAAAAGTCAAAAGTGGGTCAATATTTATGTGATCAAACCTATGATTACAAAACAGATGCATTATTTAGTGAACCTATGTATTCTCTGGAACTTGGAAGTAGTCTTTATGCTTTTGATCATTCTCCATCAAGTCATTTCTTTTTGTTCACTGAATTTAGTGAACCGATGTATTTTCTGATAGTTGATTAATACATGATCTCATTTCTACCCCCCCCCCCCCAGAAAGAAGAAAAAGAAAAGACAAAAAAAAAGAAGAAGAAAAAACCTCAAACAAAAGCCAAAAACTCCAGCATTGAAGATAGGTGCAGAATGCTTGGATTAACCATGGAAAGTAGTGTGAATACCATGGAAATGGAGGTTTTCAGAACCAAGAAGAAAGATGTGGGGGATTAAAGAACTAGTTGGGGAAGATGGCTTCTTTTAGCAGACGCCTGTTTTCTCGCTCAGTAGGCACGCTGGAAGACCATTTTGCCCATCCTTGTGTCTCATGAGTACGAAAATGCCATTGTAATTTGACTTCAATCAAAAGTTCAATGAAGATAATTTTGTCCAGCTCTTATCTTCAAATATGAAAGTAAAACCGATCAAGTTCCCTATTTTACGAAGTTAAGAAGAATAATAATTTGAGCTCCAAAAATTTCGAAATTTGTAAATAAATCTAATCAACTACCATATTTACCTAATCGAGACCCGAGTGGCATTGAAAAGAAGTGTTAGACGAACCATCTCGCTAAATCCAGAGCTTGCGGCAGGTTTTCAATTAGTTCGCTTTCACCGCTCTATTGTTAAAAATGTGGACTATTTTTTGCCAACAAAAATGTAGATATAGATATTGAAAAAAGGAGTGTTTGTTTTGTTGCTTCTATACTAGGAAGAAGTGTTTTGCTCTCTTCTGTGCGTGTGTGAAGGATGTGAGCGATATTTTCTAATGAAAAATGAAATATAGTGTTCCCAAAATATATACTACTTCCAATTCTCATTATAAGAACTAGTTGACTAATTTGAAAAAATTAAGAAAATAAGTTAAGTTAGTTATTTATAATAAATAGGTGTTGTTTTTTTTTAAAATATCTTTATTAATCAAGTGTGTTGGTTAGAACTACTATTATTAGAAGGACTACCTAAAAAAAAAGTATAAATATGAGAGAGAAAGTAGATTGAGGTCTTATAATTAGAATTAAACTAAAAGTCAAACAAGGTCTTATATTAAGGATTGGAGGTAGTGTATATACTTCTCTGGTTCTTAATATAAGACCCATTTAATTAATTTGATTAGATTGAGAAAGTTAAGTAAGTTAGTTAATTATAAGAAAAATGACACATTTTTCTTAAAACACCATAATCATCTTTCTTAATACCCCATCTCTTTCTTCTACTTGATTATAATTGAAGGAGTATCCATAACGGTAATTTAGAGAAAATTGATAAATATAAGAAATATGTCTTATATTTAGTACAAAAAATAACTCAAAAATTAGATTCTATATTAAGAACTGGATGAGTGTACATATATATATATATATATATATATATATAGTCATGGCTTCGTCTGAAAGCTTGTCCATACATTCACAAGTTCTAAATTCGTAATAATACTAAGTAAAATAATGGAGTAGCTGGTCAACAATTTTAAAATTAATGTCTCTATGGCACATTCGCGTACGTTGCTTTAGTCAAAAATTGTTCGGAGAAAGGCTTTGAGCCTCTTTCTAGCTTTCCCATTCAGATTTGTTTTCCCATGTTTTTTTTTTTTCTATTTTGGGAGTATCCCTCCATGTGACTCTGCTCCCAAATCCCCTGTTTTGGTACTATAAAAAAAAAAAAGGTCAACTTACTTTTTTAAGCCTTTTTAATTTTTTTAGTTGGTGATTATAGTTTTAACTTGTAAGAAATTCTCTTTCGGTAAATCATTCCTATTATGATTGCTCTCTCTGCTTCTGATTATAAAATCTCAAATTTTTAAATTTTTGTATGCGTAATTATAAATCTTTATGCAAAATTTAAAATATAATTAAATTTTTTAATTACTCCTCACAAGAGACCAAAAGTACTAATCTTATTTAATAAAAATGTGATTTTCAATAGCCACATTTAATTGAGAGCAAAAAGAAACAAATTTTTCATATCAAGACAAAATTTATTAGTAACAAAAAGACAAAACGTTACATATTAAACTCCCCAACTGAGGCGATACTGGAACCCAGTTGATCAGCTGGGCATGGGCTTCATTAATATTGTTTCTGACTTTTAGCAGTATGGTAGTCCAAAAATTTATTGTTGGTTAAACGTCCATGTTGATTATCATATTTATGATGTTAATGCTATGTTCAGATATTGTTTGGCAAAATCAAGTCTCATACCAGAAAAAGGCGTACCATCAAGGCATTAAGTTTGTGGACAATTTTATGAAATAGCTCTAGCAAAAAAAAAAAAAAAAAAAAAAATCTTTACGTTTTTCTTTAGTGGTAAGTCATAGTAAAGTAATACTCCTCCGGTTCTAAATATAAGATCTATTTTGTAGTGTAATTTACATTACAAAATAAGTCTTATATTTAGGACGGAGGAATAATTGTTTTCAAAGAGAAAATCTGATTGATTTTGAGCACTTCATTAACTGTTTATCTAGAGTTTTGCGATAACTGGGGAATTAATTAATAGTGGCATTCTAGCTTGAGAGCCTGTTTGGGTGCTCCAAAACCGTGGTTTCAGAAGCACTTTTTCGCAAAACGAAGTAACCTCCTCCACATATTTACTTCGTAATCCGTAAAAACACTTCTGAAACCATGGTTTGGTTTCTATCCAAACACTCCCTCAATTATTGATTAATGTTTGCGGTAATTGGTTGATTGTTCCATTTGTTTGTGGATTGACCTGACTTTGTTGAGCTGTTTATAAAAATTTAATTTGCTGTTAACTTAAAGTAGAAAGAGATTTGTAGCCTAAACAACGAGAAAAAAGAAGGGCCGCGTGCTTGAATTTTTAATCGTGAGATTATTGCTGTTATACTGTTTTTAGTCGTTAATAGAGTTAATATTATTGTTGATGCTTAAAATTTGATCAAACTTTAGTTTTGGTTCATATAGTCTCAAATTGTTGGTTTTAATCTCTATAATTTCATGAGTACCTGGTTTAACTTTAAGTATAAGGACCAAGACCAACACTTATTAAAAGTATAGGAATTGTTCGTTAAATCAAATCTTTATAAAATTATATTGATCAAGATCAAATATTTGAAATTGCAAGGATTAAAACTAAAACTTAACTAAACTATGAGAACTACAATGATATTAACCTTTGTTAATATACAATTCATTAAAAATGCTTGGCTTTAGACTAAACATTTCGTTCGTTTTTTATCAAAAAAAAAAAAAAATCACAAAAGCTTCCTGAATTTGCATTATTGATTGCAAACATGACATGCTGGAATTGTCTTATACCGCCGGTAATTTGGGATCGTATAGTTTTGGCTATTACTTATAATATTGACTTAAGCAGCAAAAATTAATAAACAATTTATCAAAGATCAGGTCATGGCGCATTGCATAAGTTTGGTAAATATTTTTTAAAGAATGACAAGTATAAGAAACAAAATGAATCAAGGTATTTTCACTAGTGCAGAATACCATATCTGGCATTGTTAAAATTGCATTTTTACTACCCCTCTGATTTTTAATGTATAACCTAATTGGGAAGTTAATGTTGATTCTATATGTAAGAATTGCTTTACATGTTTATCAATTTTTTTCATATTAACCCTATTGATATTCGCTCAACAATAATTAAGTAGAAGAGAAAAGAAAGAAATTAAAAAAGATACTTATAATGTTTTGGAAAGAACATATCACATTAATTAATTTAATTAATACCCTTAATCTACTTAAATTAACTGATTCGCTCCGATGTGAGGTGCAGTAGAAATAGCAATGATAGGACATAGTAATTTGGGAGAATTATAATGAGGTCTTAAAGAAGAAAAATAATTATTAAAAAAGTCTTTATAACAACCTAAGTAGCCAGTAATGACAAATTCTAGAGTTAGAAATGACAACTTTTAGGAGTTATTTTATAATTATTTTTTTTTGGAGACCTCACTATAATTCTCCCTTATAATTTCCGCATTGGTCATAAAGGAACATGCATCGTAATTATGATGTTTCTTAGAAATAAAATAGATGAAAAATATGACAAGTTTATTATCACTTCTAACCCTCAAGTGACAAGCACAAAATCCAGTAGTTAAATTAATATTTTATTCTAGTATATATTTAAGATTATCTAAACTCCCAGCTAAACTTATACCAATGAGTTGGGGGGGGGGGCTTAAAGTTTTTTTAGACACTTGAAATTAAAATATATTCTACCATTTTATTATGCACTTCACCACAGTACAAGAAACCATCTTCATATAGTATGAAACTAAGAGAAACACACACATATATAAAAAGAGTTCGTACTAGCATGGTGGCTCATCTTGAGAGTGATAACATTCCAAATTAGGAAATAAACGCTCAAAGGATGCTCAATTCCCACGTGTTCACATGTGATGCCCAGACAAAGTCCAGATCGACCTTGAATCTCATTCGGGAGATCAAACTCCCCCACGTCCTCTCAACTTTCTCCCATTGGATTCAACCAAAATTTAATATTTCATCAATGTCCCTAAATAAACATGAATTAATTAACTAATTTTTCCCATGTTATAGCTAAGATGATCACAGGCCAAATCAACAAGAATTAGATTTAGTAAAAGAAACTAGTTTCTCACAACGTACTAAACCGGTGTTCAAATTTTTACTTAAAGATGTATTAATATTTTGTGTTTCCTTGAAGATTATTGCCCCCTCAGACACAAAGTTACACAAAGACACCCAATAGCAGTATTTATTCGGTTCTAAATATAAGACCTTTATATAATGTATATAAGGATTTTATATTTAGGATAGGATGAGTAATAATTACTGAATTCATTGAATAAATCTAAACTCTGCACACCTAACTTCATAAATTTCGTACACATTTTTTAACGGAGGTAATAGTATTTCATTTCGGCCATTCAAACATATAGGTATGGGTGATAACGTTTCAAATTAATGAGTAAGAAATTTGACAATTCAGTATT